AAATTATTTAAATTAAATTTATTTGATTACAAAAGACTGAATAATATATGATATTACCAAGAGTGAGAATAAACTCATTAACACAATAACAAATAAAAACTATTACAAAAAAGAAAATATTAAATTACCCTTTTAAAGAAGTTATGTTTGTTGTTATTCCATATTTATATTTATAAATTACCATAAAAAAAGTAAAAGGAATAAAATAAGTTAATAATATCTTAACGTTGATTATATTACAAATAAATGAGAGAGATTAAATGAAAAATAAATAATAAAAACGTTGTTTGTGAATCAATATTTAAAAAAAGTATTAAAAAGTAAATTTAATTTAAAAGATTTGAATAAATAATTACAAATAAATAAGTTAATAACTTAATATCAATCAAATAGATAATATACAAGTAGTTGAAATGATTTTTAAATAAAATTTTAATATATAAAACAAAAGATAGAATGTATTTAAGACAAAATTGAATTTTTTTTAATTTGCCAATTTGAGGATTAATTCCTTAATAAATGGAATGCTGAAGAAGGTTTCATTCTTAGCAAAGACACAAGCCAAAACAATTAAAGCAATACGAAGAAGGAAATAAATAACAAGAAGAGCAATATAAATACCTTCTAAAGCACCACCAACACAAACACAAAGAAGGAAGAAAGGGAAACCGATAATTGCAGAAATAAGGAAGAAGAGAACGCTTTGTAAAGCATGGGCTCTAACGTACAAGTTTTCTTTTTCAAAGAAGAAGAAAACAAGACCAGTAATTGAACAAATATTAGCGAGAGCAGCCTCGACAATAACAGGTAATTTCATAGAAGTAATTCCAGAAGCAGAAGAAGTGGAGTCTTGCATAAAGAAAGAATTAAGAACTATTTAATAAAGAGAAAAAGAAAAATAAAAAAAAGAAAATAAAATTCCAAAAAGAAGAAACTTTCAATTTAGAATTTCTTTAAAATTCTACACTTTTGAATTCTTTCCTTTAGAAAGACTGTAAGTAATAATTACGAAATACAAAAGTCTTGCTAATAAAATAAAAATGAGAGCTAAATAATAAGCTAGTTTTGTATAACTTAATTTTTCTCTACTTTTTATTTGATAAAATACAGAAGTTGGATTGTATTGAAAATCTTTTTTAAATAATTGAATAATATCAAAAAGTAATACTGGTAATGTTAGTAATAATTCTAACCAATTTAAATGAGGAATAAAAATTAAAGTTATTATTGAATGAATAACAAATTCTGGAAACAATAATCTACATGTTATTTTCTTTTATTTGATTAACTCATTTTAATAAACCCTTTTTTTTTTTAACTTTTCTTTTTTATAACAAACCGATTAACTCGTCGACAAAAATCAATTGGCGATAGTTCATCTGATTCAAGATCAACAATACATAACGCATGAAATAATACATTTACTAAATTTACTCCACAAAGAACAATACCACTTAACCAAGTAGTAATTAATGTAAAATTTGACATATTTTAATATTAAATAGTTTTTAAAATATTTAAAATAAAAATTTTAATTATTTTTTAGTATCAAAATTCCATTGAATAACTATCATTTTCTTTAATTCAACTGGTTTAGGTTGACCAACTCCAATAAAAATATCTTTTGCTTGTGCAATAAAATTTGTTACCTTTTCGCTATCTTCTTTATCAAATCCTTCTGGTTCACATTCTAATTGATAATAACTTCCTAATCTTTTATTAAACATAACTTCATTTCCACTAATAATAAACCCACAATAGGTTTCTAAAAACCAATCATCGTTAACTGTTGATGAAATGTATAAACTTCTCATTTTTTTACTTCCTTTTTTTGAATCTCTTGGTGTACTAACAATATCTGAATGTGTAACTGTATTAATTCCTGTTGCTACTCCATTAGCAACTGTTGTTACTCCTGTTGTTACTAAATCAACACTTGAACTAATTCCAGTTGAAATACCATTTACAATACCAGAACTGATATTTGTTACTCCGTCAATAAGACCATGTGATTGAGAAATACTAACTGTTTGTTCTTTTTTTTCTTTATTATTAACAAGTGACATAGAAAATGCACCATATTGTGATTTATTAATTAATGAAAAAATAAAATAATGTGGATCATTATTAATTGATGTTGATCCATATTTACTCTCTTCTGGTACTATTAATTCATTATAACTACCAAATATGTCTCCTTGAACAGTTTCAAAATAAAACATTATATTCTTCTCTCCAATGATTTTCTTATATAATGTTTTTCTATTAAATCCACTAATTGTTGATGAATAAATAACATTAAAATTGGGTTTCTTTTTACTATACGAAAAGAATCTTGTAAATTCTTTTGCATATTTTTTAATATTCTCTTTGTCTTTTTCAAATTGTTTTTGTTCTTTTGGATCATCTCTTGGTGTTTGAGGTTCTGACATGTTATTTCTATTTTTTCTTTTTTTTTGAGATGTAAAAATTATTTTTTTATTTTTTGTTATAAAAAAATGTTATTCAATCTTTCAGTTATTAGTTGTTTTAATGATGTTAATAATGATTTGATACTTTAACCATTTTTATTTTCACTGAAATATTATCTCTAAATGGAAAAAATATTAGAAGGTATTATTCAAAAATATAGAGTTTTGCATTTGATATAACTCATTCTTTTTATTCCTATTACCAAAACTTCTTCTTTTTTACTCCATTAATTTATAAAGTTTATTTATACTTCAATTGTTAATACACTGTCAAAAGAAATGCCAAATAAAGTATCAATAATAAATAAATAAAAAAAAGTAAAAAGTTTTTACTCAAAAAGTTTAAAGAGAAGAACAAACTATTTAGTGAAAAAGAATAAAAAAAAGAAATGATAGGTGGAAATGAAAGGAAAATTAGGGAAAATAAAAATAAAATGAAAAAAAGTAAAAAAAGCTAATAAAAAAAATCGCGTCATAAAAACCCTATAATCTTCGAATTAAAACTGTTAATTATTTAAATAACACGAAATGCCAGTAAAAGACTATAAAATTGTAGTACTAGGAAGTGGTGCTGTAGGAAAATCATCAATTACTGTAAGATTTGTTCAAGGGATTTTCCTTGTTAAATATGATCCAACTATTGAAGACTCTTATCGTAAACAATTAGATTTAGATGGTCAACAATATGTTCTTGAGATTTTAGATACTGCTGGTACTGAACAATTTACTGCTATGAGAGATTTATATATGAAAACTGGACAAGGATTTGTTCTTGTTTATTCAATCATTGCACAATCCACATACAATGATCTTGATCCAATTCATGACCAAATTGTTAGAGTTAGAGATACAGAGGATGTACCAATAATTGTTGTTGGTAATAAGTGTGATCTCGAAAGCCAAAGAATTGTATCACAAGATGATGGAAAAGCTCTTGCAGATAAATATGGAGCTGATTTTCTTGAAGTTTCTGCTAAGGCTGAAATTAGAATTTCTGATATTTTTACTACCCTTATTAAAAGAATTAATTCTAGCAATGGTAATAAAAAACCTGATCATCCCCATCATTGTTCTCTTCTCTAAATTTCACTTATTCTCTTGTGGTTTTATGGTCTTTACAAATTCGTTTTTGATAAAAAATTTTATTTCTTTTTTTTTTCTTAATTGATTCTTTCACAAATGGTTTATTGTTATTTTATATTTTTTTCTAAATCTTAAAAAAAAGTTTTATTCTCAGAAAATATTTTCTATAAATGATAACATTCAAATTAAATAATAAATTGATTTATATCAACATAAAAAAAATTGAGAAAACACCAAACATTATCAAAATGTTTGGTACTCCATTTTCACACTGCCAGACAATTGGATCAAAAATGACAAGTTGGTTTGAGGATGTTCTTTCAACTGGATCATTCTCAATAAAAACTTCTTCATCTGAGAATTTTAAATCTCTTATTCTAACATTCTCATTACTTAATGTTTGACCTTCTCCTAATTTAAATGTCATAAACCTTATTCTTTGTATGTCAATTGGAAGGATAATTTTGCTTGTAACATTTGGTTGAGCTGTAAAGGTTATAACTTCAACCAAACCAGTAGTTTTTCTTCTATTATCAACATCATCTGAAAGTGAAACCGTGAAATTGGTATCATTTTCTCCTTCAAAAAAGAAATAAAACTGAAGAGTATTAAAATCCTTAGTAGATACAGAGTTTTCATTAACAAATTTCAATCCTGTAGTTATATTATCCTTAAAAAATAGCATACCATTTTTTTGTATAACACTACAATTGCTATAATTGTCAAACTATGTAATTAAAAAAAATGAATAATAACAAACCTATTATCTGAATAAATATGCCAACCATTTTTAAATGATTCACTATCTAGGACAAAAGAAACAGTTTCAGCATTTGCTATAAAGATTATTAAACAAGATAAAATAAAATTCATATCGATATTTCTTTCCAATAAAAGAATTAATAAACATTACTTTCTTTTCATTATAACTATTAGTATTACGATTAGAAGATTCAATCTGATGTTTCATTTAGAAAAAATAATTCAATTAATAGTTATGATTATCATATCATCATATTTTAATGTGTCTGTTAATTGTTTTTTTGAGATGACATTGTTAATGGCTTTTCTAGTGATAATAGTAACTGTAACTAATAACACAATTGAAGAGATAACAATCAAAATCATTAATGAAACACCAACCCAATCATTTTCAACTAAAAGTAAAGATTAATTTCAAATTAAAAGAAAATAAATACAAACGATCTGGATTTGAGAATATATCACTCACATTTTTAACAACACTCCCAAAATAAGTATAAGCTATAGTTCCTGGTATTATTCCATAGAATGTTGCAACAATATAATTTTGAAAAGAGCAAAATGGTCCAAGAACATAATTAGAAATAGGAAATGGGAATAATGGTGATAATCTTAATAAAAGAATCATTAAAAATTCATTTGATTCAATAGTTTGTATAATTTGGTGAATTTTGGAATGGTCATCAAGATATGATTTAATAGTATTTTGAAGGAAGTATTTGGCAATAAAACATGGAATTGAAGCACCAATAAAACAACCAATTGTATTAATTAAACTTCCTTTTGAAAATCCAAATAAAAATCCACCTGCTAAATTCAATGGAGTTGCAGGAAGGGCTAATAATAAAACAACGATATAAAATAAAATAAATAAAAATGATGCAGTAACAAAGGATAAATCTTCTAAAGAAGTGATGATTGAAATAATAACTGATTTTAAAGGAGAATTAGGAATAAAAAAAGCAATGAGTAATAAAATAAAGATAGATATAATAATAATGATAGTAATTAATTTAACTATACTAATATTCCAATGAGGACGAATGCTATTGTAACATTGAATTTCTTCAGAGATATTCATTGGTTAAAAGAACAATGATGAATTGATAAGATTTGATAAGAAAGTAATAAATTAATCAATAACAAAGTGAAGATGATAAAAAAGAAAGTGAAAAAGAAAATAATATTAAAAAAAATAATTATTAATCCAAAAGTATCAATTTAAATGTTAGATGGATAAAGGAAAACTTTAAGGTTTTGTCCCATTGCTTTTGGTGGAAGATTATGTAAGAATCTAGCTTTAACAACTCCATGATTTCCATGTGGTGCAACGATTTTACCAAAAATAGCACGAATAGCTGGTTTATTACTTCCTTTCTTTACATTAACTTTGTAAACATAAGCAACACGTTTTCCAATATAGAATGGAGTATCTTCTTTTGTATTTACTCCACTAATTTGAAGAAGAGCAACATTTGGGTATTGATTTCTTTGGGCACGTTGGAATCCCATAAAAACAGCATTAACATGAAGTCTGCACTTGGACATGTTTCTCAATTTACTCAAATTGTTAGAAACCCTTCAGTTTTTTTTTTAGTTCTTCTCTTATTTATTTTATTATTATTTAATTATTAATAAATAATTAATATTAATTAGTAATATTTTTTTACGACTAAATAACAAATATTCAATTAATTCATTTTCTGTTCATTATGAAATTCATTCACAAAAAGCATTGATATCATTTTATTTATTCCTTCAATTGTACTAATTAATGGATCAACTAATTTAATTTCTTCTTTCATTTTTGGTATTAAATGAAGAGTATCTTCTTCTGTTTTATAACCACCATTAAAACAATCACATTGTAAAAGGTCATGAGTGTCACTAATTGTATCAGTATTTAATTCAAATATTTTCATTAATTGTTCTACACTAAGACTTTTACCCATTTCTAAATGTTCTTCAATAATACTTTCACTAATTTGATTTTTTTGTAATTGTCTTTGATAAATTTTTTCTTCAATAGTTCCAGTACAAAGCATTCTATAAATCATAGCCTTTTTTTGTTGACCATCTCTCCATATTCTAGCCATTGCTTGTTTATCTTTTGCTGGATTCCAGTCAGGATCAAATAAAATAAGTCGTGAACATCCAATAAGATTTAATCCGACACCACCAGCTTTACTAGATAATAATAATATATTAAAATTAGAACTTTTATCATTAATTTTTTCAACAATTATATCTCGTTGTTTTTGAGATGTTTTACCATCTAGTCTTAAATAATTAAATATTTTCTTTTGTTTATATTCTTCTTCTTGTTTAAAATACATTTCAAATAAATCTAATGTTTTTGTATAATTTGATACTAACACTACTTTTTCTTTTGATTTTATTATAATTTCTTTAATAAATTGAATCGTTATATTAAATTTATTTGAACTTTCTTCATTTATTGTTACTCCTTTAATACAATTTTCATCATTTTCATTTAATGAAATCTTTTCTTCCATTAAGTATTTTGAAATTAAAGCAGGATGGTTACATAATTTAGTAAATAATTGAATATATTTTAAAGCACCACATTGATCTAATTTCTTTTTATCTAATTCTTTTAACATAATTTTATATAATTTAATTTGTAAATGACTTGGTTTAATAAATAAAACAATTTCTGTTTTATCAGGAAGATATTTTTCATTAACTTGAGATGTTCTTCTAAGAACATAATCATTTAATTTATTTGTCAATTCTTTTGCTCTTTCTGTTCCTAATTGTATTTCTTCAATTGAAGCATTTCCGTCTTGTGCTTTTTGAATAGGAATAGCAAAAACTCTTTTAAATGATGATAAAGTTCCAAGACATCCAGGTGAACAAAATTCAATCAATGAATAAAAATCTTCTAATCCATTTTGTACAGGAGTACCACTTAATATAATATGTCGTGGTGCTCCAAGTGCTTTTAATGAAGAATTTGTTTTACTCATTAAATTTTTAATTCTATGTCCTTCGTCACATACAATTAATCCAATTTTTGTTTTTTTAAGTGTTTCTACATGACTTCTAACTTGTTCATAACTAATAATTAATACTGGAATATAATCTCTTATAAAATCATTTACTTTTTCTTTCATTGAACTATCACTACTTCCTGTTTGAACAGGAATTCTTTCTACTCCTAACCATTTTTTAAATTCTTTTTCCCAATTTCCAATTAAACTTTGAGGACAAACAATTACTATTTTTTTAATATTACATTGTTTATATACAGTCCATATTAATGTAATTGTTTGAAGTGTTTTTCCAAGTCCCATTTCATCTGCAAGTATACATCCACATTCTCCTCCTCTCATAATACAATGATACATAAATTTAACTCCTTCAATTTGATGTGGTCTTAAAAATTTTCCAATATATGGATCAATTAAAATTGCTGGTTCTTTTTTATCATCAATACAATATGAAAATGGATTATCTTTATTATATAATGATACTTTCTTCTTTTTTATTGGACCATTTCCTAATGTTGTTTTTTTTAACTCAAATTTTGGTTGGGTTATAGTTATTGGTGTTTCATGAAGAAATAATTTTCCTGAAAGATATTGTTCAACTGGAACTTCTTCTTCTATTTCAATAACTTTTCCAGCAAGAATAATAGGATCTCCTCCAACACTTTCTTGATTAATTTCTTTCATTATATTATTAACTTTTCCAATGACTTTATCTTCTTCGTCGTGAATAAATCCAATATTATTTGAATTGACTACGATAAACCCATCGTTAAATATCTTTTGTTTTTTAGGTGAATTCTTTGTCCACATGATTTTAAATACTTTGACAATATCAATTTTCTTTTTTTCTTGAGTAATAACTTCAAGTAATACTTTTGGTTTTTTCTTTTCATTTTCTTCTTTTGGTTTAGGTAAGTGTAATGGTTTTTGACCTAAGAACTTCTTCTGGGATGGAGCAGATGATCGTTTCATTTATCTTTCATTAGTTTTTCCTGAGATTGAAGATAAATTCCTCAATGATTAGTAAATAGAATTATTATATTATAAAATATTATAATGAAATAATATTATTGATCTAAAGAAGATTAATTCAATGATTGGTTTACCAGAGAGTTGTTGTTGGTCGGTTTATCATTCCTTTAAAAATTATATAGAAGACTCTAAATCAATATTTGATGATTTAATTAGTGTTGCTGAAGAACATAATGTTGATGGAATATTAGCAAATCATATTAATCGTTTAAAGGAATGTCAAAAAGCTGTTATGATTAATCATTCATTTATTGATAAAACAATTACATTGTACAACACAAGATTCAAAACTAAAGAAGAGGTTGATGATTCACTTAATTTTCATTGTTGTGTAAAGCCAAATGGACATCAAGTTGATATGATCCAAAATATATTAGAACAAACACTCAGAGAATGGGGAAGTTTAGGAGAGTCTATTAGGAATCAAACATTTAATCCATTGTATGACATTATTGGAACAGGAAAAAGTATATTAATACCAGGATGTGGATTAGCTAGATTACCATATGAATTACAAAAACGAGGAAATAAATGTTATGCATGTGAATGTAACCATTTTATGTTAATGGCAATGAACACAATTTCAACAGCAAAAGAAAATGAATTTACTATTGTCCCATATATTAATTGTACAAGTGATATAATCGATTCATCTAATTTAAAAATAAGACATTCAATCCCTGATTGTGACCCATCACTTTTAAAAGAAATTTCTCTTAGTGATTTTGATTTTGAAAGTTATTGCGAAAAAACATCGATTCAATTTGACGTTGTTTGTACTTGTTATTTTATTGATACAGCATTTGATATAATTAATTACATCAAATCAATAAAATCAGTTTTAAAACCACAAGGAATCTGGGTAAACATTGGTCCTCTTCATTGGGTAAATGATTGTTATTCATCTCTTCATTTAAGTTTAGATGAGGTCTTTGAAATTGCCTTTCAAGTTGGATTTACAATGATAAAAAAAGAGATGATTCAATCATTAAACTATATCCCTCAAGAATATTTCACTTGTCCTACAACATATAATCCTTGTTTATTTGTAATGCAAAACAAATGACTTCATTCCACTTCTATTCTTTTTATATTTCTTTTTATTAAGAATCAGAAAAACTCTTTTTTAAGGAAAAAAATATCATAAATTAGATTCTTATTATTGCTGAAAAATATCATTGAGTTTGTAAAAAAAACAAATTAACTCATCTTAGACAATTCAGTTAAGGTAATTTGGGATGAGCATAATAGAAATAAATAATAAAAATGGTAAAAGAAATACAATAGAAAGTTGAACAAAAAGATTATGATTAAACGAAGAAAGAATAATAAAGACATAAATAAGTAAGATAATAATAAAGACAACACTAACGACAAGCATAGAATATAACAAAGAATGAAATTAAAGTGAAAATAAGAGAATAAGAAATAAAATGAAAAAAGGAGCATATGAAGAAATAAATATAAAATAATTAGATAAAGCAAAAAACGATGTTATACAACAAGAAATAATTCAATCAAAAATAAAAAGAAATGAGAAAGTTAAATAACCAATTAAAATACAACAAAAGAAAATAAAAAAGAAATAAAGACAATAATCAAAACAAACATTGAATAAAACTATAAAATACAAGAATAATAAATATGAAAGAAATATGAAAGAAATATGAAAGAAATAAAAAAGAAATTAACAACCAATAAATAAAATTAACAAATTAGAAGAAGATAAAGATTAAGAAAGAAGGACAAAACATTTCAACAGAAATAATGATAAAATCACAAAACAAAATAATGATAGAAAAGAAAAATAAATAGAAGAGATAAAACACAAATAAAAAAGAATAATCTACTTCCAATCAAATAATTTAAATGATAAATAAGTGATGTTAAATTATAAATAAAAGTAAAATAAATGAATGAGAAAGTGAAAATGATAGAGAAATAAGAAGCAATGATGATTCATATTAAATATTTGTGATAATTGTGAAAAGAAGAAGAAAGAAGAGATAAATTAAAACAAATAATTAATTAACAATAAGATGGAATAAAAATAAGAAGAAGAAAAGATAATATTAAACAATAAGAAGAATATAAATATAACAATATGATAAAGAAAATACATTGATAATAAATAACAAAAAAAATTATAATGATAATATCAACAATAAAATGAATAAAAATACAATGAAAAGAAACAGATGAATAAAGAATAAGAAGAAATAAATAATAAACAACCATAAGAAATGAAACAACAATAAAGAAGTATAATAATATAATAAAAAGAAATAAAAGAAATAAAAGAAATATTAAATATTAAATATAAAATAATATATTAATTTAAAGAATATGATATTATAAAATTAAAAATGAATAAATGATAAGAACGAGAAATATTTATTATAAAATAAAGAAATATATTTATATTAATGAAGAGATAATAATGATAAAAAAATAAATAAAGAAATATAAAATAAAAGAAAAATAAAATAATGAAGAATAAGTAATATAATAAAAATAATGATAAATAATATATAAATAATAACAAAAATACAGAATAATAATATAAATATTTAAATATAAAATAATAAAACATAAAAGAAAATGAATTTAAAAATATTAATAATATATTTTAATAAAAATTATTTAAAATAATAATTTTAAATAAAGAATATATTTTATTTAATAAAAGAAATAAAACAATAAAAAATGAATATAAATAATAAAATAAATAAACAATACAAATATATAATAAAAATTATTAATTCATTTATGAAATAATTCATGTTAATTCAATATTTATTAATATCAATATTTTATTATGTTTTAAATAAAATGGTGAAATTATTTAATTAAAGATAAGGAATATATTAAATTTATTATAAAATATAATTTCAATGAATATATAACAAAATAAATCATTAATTTATATTTAAAATATATTTAAAATATGAGATATTGAAATATGAATAATTTAAAATAATTAAATAGTAAAATTTATTATATTTTTTAGATGAATAATTACTTTTTCTTTATTATATTTTAATTAATTATTTAAACATATAAATAATTTATAATTTTTATATTGAAATAAAGAAATAATAATAACAAAGAAAAGAGAAATTATAATGAATTTATTTTAAAGATAATAAAAAATAAATAAAAATAAAGAATTATTTTAATAAAATAAAATAACAAACAACTTTATAATAATAGAATGAATTATATATTATTATTATTAAATATAAATTGATGATAATTTATTAAATAAATAAAATTATTTATTATCATTAATTGTTATTTCATTTTATTTATTATTTAATATTATTCTTATTATCATTACAAGCAAATTTGATATTAAATTAATTATAAATTAATTCTATATAATAATATAAATGAATTTATTGAAAAATGAAATTTAAAATAGTAATATGAATAATGTATGAATATGATATGATAATTAATTATTTTTATATTAAGACAATAAATATATTGATTAAATCATTTTATTCATTTTTTAATTATTTAAAATTATCATATTTATTCAAATTATATCAGAATGATATGAAAAATTAATAGAAAATAGAGAAGTAATACTTTTAATATTAATAATAAATTGACACACAAATATTTATTAAGAATATATAAATACTAAAAATATAAATTTCAATAATAAATAC